TGCACAGCAAGTGGTAAATGGATCCATCCTCTCTTTCCAGGACGTGAGTAGTTGTGCTGAGCCCCACTGTGGTATCCTGACCTAGTTCTCAGAATTCTCTACCTGATTAGGCACAGAAGTGGCTCAGGGTCCACATAGCTTGGCTCCCTGAGCAAGCTGCGCTAGGGTGATCCGAGCCTGTGGAAGGCCGCCCCCCTCAGCAGATTGCAGCCTCCCATCTGTTGGGTGTGTTCTGTGCCCAGCCTTGCTGGCCACTCTGGTAGGTCAGGGCCCTTTGTGTGAGCCAGATGTTGAGGAAGCAGAGCTCTGTGTCCACAGGACATAATGAATGGCAAGCCGCCTGAGGTGAGTTTTTAAAACAAAAGACAGGTCCCAGGATGGAACACACCTGTACACTCAGCTACTCCGGGGCTGAGGCAAGAGGATCACAGTTTGGAGGTTAGCCTGGCCAATTTAGAAAGACTCAGTTTCAAAATTAAAAAATAAAAAAGTAGGACTGGGGGTGTAGCTCAGCAGTAGAAGACACTATGGCCAAACCCCAGCGTTATGCTATAGCTTGTAGGTAGAACAATTATCTGATACATGCAGGTCCTGAATTCAGTCCCAGGTGTCCACCCAGACATACAAAGACAGAATAAGCAAAGAAGGACTGAAACAGATAGATAAAACCAAATATGTAACAAAAACTTTAAAAGATAAAAGAATTCAATGAACATTAATCCTACTAATCTTAAAAGTTGGTGATACAAGTATGCTATACCAGTCACCATATTAGAAAATTAAAAAGGAAAAACTTCACTGTATTGTCTATAAAAAGGGGCCGGGGAGATGGCTCAGTGGAGTAAGTGCTTCCCTGGCAAGTGCAAGGGCCTGAGTTCAATCCCCAGTTCCGGAAAAAAAACAAAACAAAAAAAACAGGAAAATATTGTCTATAAAAGAAGGACAGTGGTTTGACAACATGCAAATCTGGACATCTGAACGACTACTTTGAAGATAACATCATGCAATAGAGCAACCATTGTTGAATTTCTATTACTTTGTTTAGTGAAATTTTGTGTCATTTCTAATGCTGTATTTTCCTATCACTATTTTGTAGTCTTTTAAAAAAAAAGACTTATTTGGGGATACAAAAAGATTTTAGCAAAAGAAGCAATAGGACTTTCTTAATTTTAGGGCTAGCTTCTAAAACCCTCCAACAAACATCCCTATTGAATAGAAGCATTCACTTAAGAATCAGTCATAGGTTGCCTGTCCTTACATCTTCTGTTCTAATAGCGCAGGACAGCCCAGCCAGTCCAGTGAGACAAAGCAGGAAAACATAATATTTGCAAAGGAAGAAAAACATTCTTATTGTTTCCAGATGATAGGTTGCCTGTATGGAAAATCCAAGTGAATGTACAAATAAACTATTAGAAACAGTCAGAGCCAATAGTGCAGTCACTAGATGGAAGAATAAACTCAAAAAATCAGTTGTATTTCTGTGCCTCAGCACCATCTTTGTCACCAATGAAATGCAATGACCAAAATGAGATCACTTATAGTAACATTGAAAATAAAAATAGGTAAATCTACCAAAAAGTGTATACTACTTTTAGAGAGCTGATTTTTAATGCTTTACTAAAAATCACCAAAGAAAGAAAACATAATCTCACAGGTATAAACACTAGCTACAAAGCAGTGTAGCACTGTAGACCTCAGAAAATAAGTGATTCTGAGATAGTTCTTCAAACAAGAAAAATGCACTCATGGCTTGTAAGTATTTGAATTCCATACAGATTAAAGCTTCAGGGTGAAAGGTGAGACTTCAGAAGTGAAGGTGAATTCTCTGTGACCTCAACTTGGTAGTCAGTACACATCGGTGAAAAGTAACTAATTCAGAAAATATATTTGCAAAAAACAAAACCAAAAAGTAGTATTCTAGAATATTCTCAGACTCTTATCAATAAGAAATAAGTAAATAAAGCAATATGAAAATAAGCAAATGATATAGACACACCTTTCAGAAAAAATCATGACCAATGAACACATAAAAACACACATCTCATTAGCAATTTGGAAAATATAAACTCAGACTACAATAAACTTTTAAACTACTAAAAATATGAAGACACTAATAGTTGTGCAAGGATGAGGAAGAAGGATACTTTTATTTGGTGTCAGCGGGAGCATAGATTGTCACAACTGGCTTTATGCCTTATAGTTGAACATTTGCATGCTGTACAATTTGAGAACTTCCTGCCTAAGCGTACCTTCCAGAGAAATCCTTGCCCTTGTGGACCAGAAGACAAGAATGTTCATAGCAGCAGCATCCCTAACAGTAAGGCCCGGGCCAGGGAGATGGCTCAGTGGAATAAGCACTTCCCTGGCAAATGCAAGGGTCTGAGTTCAATTCCCGGTTCTGCCAAAAAAAATAAATAAAAAGTAGTGCCTAATAGTAAGACCCCAAGGATGTTTCAGATCTCTAGTACTGGGAAAATAGACAATTTATGTCGTGGTCAGATGATCATATAGTATTCATATAGCAGTGAAAACGAGCACCATGAATGAGTTTTTGCAACGTAATATTGAATTTAAGGAAAACAAGGTGTAGAAGACGACACAGGGTATGAGGCCATTTTAAGAAAGATTGAGAGCGAGAAAAGCTCGTTTTTGAATGAGAAGTAGGCACATAGCTTAAAACAAAAACCTAGCTGAAGAAGTTTTTCAGTAGCGCCCTCCGGCCTAGAGAACGGACTCACGGTGTGCTACCTTTGCCTGGGACTGCTTGACCGAATCAGCTCAGGCGCTGCCTGATTTCCCTGATTATCATCCGTATATATGAGGAGCCGTGTGACGCCGGTGTTCCCAGAGCTCTGGGGACTAAAGACGGCAGAAACATTCTTAAATGCAACAGCCAGTGTGTGAGAAATGGAGCTGAAAACAAAAACCAGCGGCTGACCCCAAGCCAATCTAGGGGCGACACCTCACACAGCGCTACTGAGGATTCCAGTTACGGTTACTCTGATGCCCCCTAAAGCTTCAGATCATCAGCAACAGTGTCCAGTGCATTAACAAAACTGCGGCAAACACAGAATTAGGACTTTGCAGAGATTCTAAGCAGGTAGAAAACCGCATCTG